GTAGTCATGATAAGAGTATTGCATGTGAGTAACTTCAGCCCACAAGAGCTATTATAAACATATCTTATTAAATACATGCACCAGACAATTATATCCTGGTCTATTATATCTTTTACAACTTATTGATAATATATATAAAATACTTATATAAAGAAGTAACATGAGGAAATTAACATAACATTTACACCAAGTAGGCGTACTATATACTATACTAAACTTACAACCTACTGAACAGCTGTTGTTTGTATAACATGTATCATATATGGTAATATATTTAATTAAAGGTAGGTTGCAAGGCAACAAAACATATGCACACAGCAGCTTAGTCATCCACGCAGTCGATAAAGGTTGTCGCATTGTAAATCTGTAGGCAAATAAATGCATGTAAATTTCAAAGAGATCAGAAGGCAATTTGGGTCGTTCACAAGATTCTAGAAATGATAAAGTGCAATAACAGTGTAAGTATATCAACTATCACTTATACGCATCTTTGTTTCACTAATGTAAACAACAACAAAAGATCGGATAGAGTCAATTCAAGAAATTATGGACAACAGACCAACAGACTTGTAGTTTGCTTGGATCAATGGTGGTACACACTTTGGACAGTATGGCAACCCAACCCAACCCATACAACTAAATTGACACAAATATTCTGATGAACTAGCCCCCATAGGTTTGGTTTACCACTATTTAGCTGCCTATATTTTTAAAGATACATTATGGGAGATTTGATAAAGAGTTGACAGTTCTCACTATAATAATTAAAAACTAGATAACGTAAAGGCAATTTGCTGAAAATTTCATTCAAATTGATCCACTATGAACCGAGAACTAAGCGGATAAAATTTCTGCCTAGCCTCGGTCATCATTACTAAAGTCAGTATGTTAAATAGCATAGTCTCGATTATCCATTTAATCGTTTAATCGAGAAGGAAAGTTATGCAGTAAATCAGATCACAATCCACTTAAGATCGCAGGCTAGCGATGCCATCTAGAGCTGATTATGGTCTGGATAAGTTAATTAATGTCTAATTAATAATAATTTAGATAACATTTCAGGCCTAAGAAAGACCTGCAATAGACAGATTTAGCTCTTGCATAATGTAAAAATGAAATGAAATGGAGTTTAACGTCCTAGTGTTCTGCTCCTAACCTGGGCTAATGAAGACGGGCATACGCCATACAGTGTGCTATGAGGGAAATTTTGCCCGGACAGCGGCCCTACGGCCTACTCGTATATAGAATTCCAACTGCCAAGGGATCTTTTACGTGCACGCCAATGTGTACACGGGACCTTGGTTTTTCATCCCATCCGAACGACTAGACAGCTTTCCTTGTCAGCCCCTCCGTCCTGCATCACGCCGGAAAATCTGGATGAACTTTCTCGGCCAATGCAGGGATTGAACACCCGACCTCCAGACTAGCGAGCTAGCGTCTTACCCACTTAGCCACGTGATCCCCTCTTGCATAATGTATGTTTAATTAAACTTTGATGGTGATCAGAGTACAGACTGCACCGCTTGCTTTTTAATATGTGCAGAAAGGAATCAAATTCTGAATACATTAAATTGTTCTATGAAATCCAACAGCTTAAATATTTAAATCTAACATAAACACATATAGTTATATTTATGGCTGAATGAAATTAATCAGTTGCCAATATAATTTATTTTTTATTTTTCCAAAGTTAGATATAAAGATTAAAAATCCAATTTATTCAGGTTTATACCATAACATAAAAATAATTACACAGTATTAAATTAAGTACCAGTATATTTGCATGAGTGAAAACAAATAAATACATACCTACTATTATGTATAGCAGTGTATACTAAAGTTAAGCCTACTTAGAATTCCATCACTGTATATAATATAATTTATATCATGCTCTGATTGGTTAAAAACTGTGGTCAATTGATTATTAACTGTAGGCCAACTGCTTTAAAGATATTAAACAGTGAATAAGCATTATGTGTGTGGTATATAGTAGATCATTTGTCATTCTAGTATCCTTGATATATATATATATTTTTAGAACACCATATAGTATTTACACCACTTCATTGGCTAATAATGATGTAAATAGGTCATAGTGTATTACATGTAGGTTTTCAAGAATGGGGTTAAAAACCCTAATAGACATTCAACCTTATTTATTTTGAGATTAATAAAATAATTATTTTGTGAAGGGTCTTTTTACCTTGACAGAAACATTTATGTCTGTAAAACTCAACTATTAGAGCTTGTTTTATTTAATAGTACATTTAATTAGTAATGAAATGAAATTGAGTTTAACTCCTACTTTTCTCCCTATTACAACTAGTACATTCTAGAACTTGTCATTTTAACCCTTTACATGGGAGGTTTTGACCAACAACCATGTGGTCATCACACTCATTTTTAGGGGGATCAATTTAAGGAAATTTGTTAAAAACAAATAAAAAAAAAAGGAAAATCATATTTTCTGTTGCCAAAATTTTGACCTTTCTATTATTAACTGTCAGAAACCACACAAAATATTTACATTTTGATTATTTACAATGCAAAAATCTAACACAATTGAAGACCCAGGGTTTGCAATGCAAGATATGCCCACATTTTGAAAGAGATGGATAGAGAACAAGCTAAAAAATACTCTGTGATTTTTCGTACAATCAGCGGCCATATAATCTGTGAAGTTATGGTCTGAAATTCGCAAATATCGAAAAGAACTGAGATCTATGTGATATAAACAAATATTTTAAGTTTCATCAAAATCAAGACAAAAATTGTGGCTTCTAAGAGGGTCCACAATCTTCGTATTACACAATTTTACATTATTTGCGTACACAGAGCGTCCATTTTGTCGGGCAGTTTCCTTACAATTTTCCCGAAATTCGAACTCAACTTTCATTATGGTGTAACAGTGATATATTTAAATGGTTTTTGAAATTGGATAAAAATTGTGATCTCTAGAGGGTCCACAAGCCCACAATGTGATTTTTCGTACAATCAGGGGCCATAATCCAGGAAGTTATGGTCTGATATGTGCAAATATCAAAAGGAAGCAAGATAATATAGGGTTATAAATTTACATTTCAAGTTCCATCAAAATAAGATAAAAATTGGGATTTCTAGAGTGTCCACAAGCTAAAAAAAGCATGATTTTTCGTATAATCAGGGTCATAATCCATGAATTAATGGTCCGATACATGCCAATATCCAAAGAAACTGAGATCTTTGGAATATAAACCTATATATCAAGTTTCCTCAAATGTGGGCGTATAAAAATGACTCGCTGTAAGTTTCAAGATTTTGAAGAAAAATATGAATTATGTATCGATATAGGCAGATGTAAATTTATGAGAGTGTACTAACTGCCAAAAGAAAATCATTTTTATACGCCCACAGAAATTGCTGAAATTCAATAGGCTTCTTCGTTTTACTAATTTAAATGATGCATATAAGGTGCAACAAAGTAAAACAACGGCTATAACTCCAGAAGAAATTAATGGAAATTATTTAAATTAAATAGGCTTCTTCATCTCACAAATGTAAACAATATATCAATTTCAAAACAATCAGATGATAAATGTAGTCTGTAGAGTGTTCACAAGAAATTGTGGATGATGGATGGACAGACGGATGGAGGTGATGGTAATATATGACCACATTTCCATGTGGACTTAAGAAAAAAGAAGAGATCTTTAGCATATTTATGTGTGTGTGTGTGCCTACTATGTAGTATAAAACAGTTGTGTCATCACTAATGTTATAGAGTTGAACTCATGATTGACATAGATAAAAGTATAATATAGATTTATCATAGTTTACCTAGTGGATGTACTGATAACTTACTTTTTTACTTTCTTACAGTACAATAACCTCTTAACTTTAGATTTAAGCAATAAAGACATTAATAAATATAATTCAATCTGGAACAGGTGCCATTTAATCGTTTTGATATTATAAATTTATCGAATAGCACCTGAAGTTTTATATTTTTAATTTGAAGTAATCAATAAACTTACACTAGTGTCTCTGCCAGGGTGTGGCATCTAAATTTAATGATGGTACTTTGCAAACCAGTAATCCTCAAACTGAGGCACTTGGTATGAAAGGGAGAAATTTCAAATTTTAAGGGTTCGAATTTTGGCAAGGGGAGGAACAAGAGAGGAATGTTAGTCCAAGGAGGTACTTGCCAAACAGGAAAATAGTGTATTTATATCAGACAAAATACCAATATTTTAAAATTAGCACTGCTGCTTCAGATTTGATTCGGTATGAGACTATTGGTATATAATTATTGAAGATTGAAAGCAATGTTTGCTAGGTTTATTTGATGCTCTGGTGGAAAAATGAGTGAGGGATTGAGCAAACCTGCCACCCGTCACTGAAGATGGTCCTGTGACCTGTTGTTATTTTTACGTCGGTCCATTCGTCCATTAAAATTTGGCATGTGAACTTGTTAGAGGCAAGAGTTTTTAAAGATGCATTATTCAAGAGCTACATTTGACTATTGCAGGTCTTTCCTTAGGCCTTAAATTTATATAAATGGCTCCGATTTTAAGTAGATTAGAATGGTTCGGCCATTTAATGATATAATTTAAAAATGGAGAATGAGGCTCAGCCTCGAATATCCAGTACCATGTTTACGATAATAAACTATCAATGCACACATCTTCTCAAACATACAAACAGTGAAAACTTCGCTCAGATTAAATAATTTGAACAAAATTTGTAATATTTTCATTTTTCATTATCTATTTTTGAACTATTATAGCAAGAATGGCCAGCTCTTTATCTAAATCTTACATAATGCATTTTTAACAGATTTTTTTTAACTTTATGTGAAGCATGGAGCAGATTTTCAGCAACACATTCACCCGGGCGAATGGGAACCAGGCTCAGAAAATAAGTCTTACAATTACCCAGGTTTGTTTGGCCCGTTGCAAAGGTCACAAATAATATAATATACATCCACATGAAACTCTTGGTGTATAATAAAACGATATATATTGATGTATATGATTTATTATTATTATTATATTTCCATGATTAAAATTATATACAAATAAATATTCACTTTATTTACATTTTTAAAAATTATCTATATCAAGATGAATGTCAGTTCTGTTATCTTCTGATTTCAGTTTTCAATCTGAACATCATTTCATTAAATAAGGGTATCACAAACCCTTCTTAAATTTTTTATCAAAATTTTATATTATGAAATCTGACATTACAAGCTGACATTGTTATATTATCAATCACTCCTTCCTATGTATTCTTTTCATTTTCAATTTATTGCATTACAAAATATTTAGTTTTCATTCAAAATCCTTTCTTGAAATGTTATCAAATCTTTGAATTCAATTTATTTGCAAGATTTGGTAAATTTTCAAAAATAATTTGACAAGTTCATCATTCAAAACTGTGCAATTACATTAACATAATGCACATGTGATTGGTGAAAACACAAGTTCTATTGGCTAGTTTACACCTTATCAAACAATCTCTCTGTGTTAGTTAATTCGATTGGTTATGAGTCCTTTTGCATCCTCCAATAATATTTCTACCCTTTCAATCTGAAAAGATTAAGATTTATGCATAAAACATATTCTTCAGGATGAAGAACAAATCTTCAGTAAAGAATGTAATATCTGAAACAAAATTGACATAATTTTAAAAAGAAGCATAATTATATAAGCTAAAATGAACATAGCTTACCCTAAAGTTTTGTGCATTAAAATAATACTGTCTGCGATACCAAATTCCTGTTATACAACCGTTTAAAGTAATAAAACAAATTCAAAGATTGCACAATGAAGGTAGCCATTTCTATAGCATTATATTTATATTTACCATGATTACATCTATATTAATAAGTACTTACGTCTAGTTTATCCATGTCATCTTTTTTAGATTTAGCGTCAGAATACGGTGGGACTAGAGCTTGTAGTCGTACAGCTTTTAATGCACTAGGTTGACACGCTATTAAATGACTTATTTCTTGAGCCTGTGCAATAGACAAATTAAAATCATTTCAAAGACACATAAATAAATGTCTCATACAATCGTGGTATCCCCATCAATCGCACTAGTAGTAGATCTTTAACATATGGATCCCTCTTCTGCCCCAACCCTGGTGTAGTGTATTGACATTACAGCTAACCCCAGGATCCATCCACTTAATTTGAGAATTGTTGTTTGTGTAGTTTGTGTCTTGTCCGTAGGTTTGTCTTTTCGGTTTTGTTTGATTGTAGTGTGGTCCTCCTGGCCCTGAGTTCACAAAGCATTCTCAGACTTAAGTTGAGAATTTGCTCAACTTTCAATCACTGTTTATGAGAAATATCTTTGATCCAGATACACAAAACTTTGCATATAGTTTCTTATTGATATATCTGATACATTAAAACAACAAAATTATTATAAAGGGCTATATTTTAGTTAAAATAAGGTGAACAATTTTAAGTAAATTCTCAACTTAAGTCTGAGAATGCTTTGTGTACTCGGGGCCTGAACTTACTATATTAGACAAGTGGAGTTTTAGCCCTTAGTTCTGAAGAAAGTTCTCATTGTTAGGCTTCTGTTCTTACTGCACTTTTTTTATTAATTTTAAGCATTCTCCAAAATTCTATCTGGATTATTGGCCTTATTATTGTTAATTTTTTTATGGTTTAACACATAACACATTACTTCAACTGGCAGATTAACGCCACCAAGGTACGCCTTTCAGGAGATGTATTTCTTGTAAATCAATGACACTAGTAGACGTTTAAGGATGACCCCAAAATCCATTCACTTGATTTGATATTTGTTGTTTATTGCTAACAAGGTCTGTTGCATGGGTTGTGTCTTGTCTGCAGGGTTTTTTTTCTAGGGGGGGGGGGGGGGGGGGGTGCAGTTCGATCGATCTCCTCTACTCTTACTTTTACAGTAAAACTAAAAGCCAGTTTAATAATATCATGAATGAATGTAGAATCACATGATGGTACAATCAGATGATTATGTTGATAAAAATGTTTTAACAAAAATTTAATAATATAATTCATGATGATTAGCTTTATATCTGATTTATTTGATAAAATGATAAGTACCATTTTCTTTAATCAATAGCTTAATGTTATTAAGGCCAAATGTTAAAAATTGTTTGCTTTTCTTACATGACAAGCAAAGTATAACCACTATTTCGCAATAAAGTGTTCACTACACAGTATAAAGTGTGTTTCCCTATAAGGTGGTTTCAATATGGGCAGATTTCAGAATAAACAAATCCATTATACTGTTTAAATCTGCATGGATCAACATCTTACACGGAAGTGCTAATGTACCACCAAAAAACAAATAATTGCTTGTTAGTGTTTTTTCTTCAATAGATAAGAAAGATATGGCCATGTATATAGATTATGACAGTAAAGATATGTTTATCACTGTAATAACAACAGTTAATGAGATAAGATTTGAATACTGACCCTGTTAGCTTGATATCTTAATCTCATAATTCTTAACCTATTTCTTGCTTCTGCTGCCCTGTAAAACAAAAGAGCTATAAAATTGTTTATCCCAACAAAATAATTAACAAGCACACTGCAAATGGAAAGATCAAATTAAATGTTTACACTCACAAAATTTTAATTTAACGAAACAGTTCGAAAATCAGACAAATTATACCTTCAGTCTTCCGGAACTGCGATGGGAAAACGATTTGCCCCGAGTTATGCAAATCTCTTCATGGCGGAGTGGGAAAGGGAAGTTCTGCCACTCTGTCCATTAAAACCAGATTTCTATGGGCGGTTTTTAGATGACGTTTTCATAGTCTGGACCTACACACTAGACGAATTTTTGACGTTTTTCAACATTCTGAACAATCATCATCCATCTGTCAAATTAACCGCAAATGTAAGCCATAACAGCATAGATTTCCTTGATACTACCGTTTTTAAAAGTAACAACACCAAAATCACAGGCCAATTGGAAACTAAAGTATTTTTCAAAGAAACCGACACACATCAATTATTGTTCAAAAGCTCATTTCACCCAAAACATACATTCTCTGGCATCATAAAATCTCAGATTCTCCGTTTTCATAGGATATGTACTCAGAAGACCGACTTTGAGTCAGCATGTACATTGGTATTTAGCAAACTAAGGGAAAGGGGATACTCCAAACGCTATCTACGACGTATAAAAAACAACACTCTAGCTGAGCTTGCCGCCAAAGAAACAAATAATATACAATCAGCACATAAAACCAAAATTTGTGGCCATCCAAGATGTCAAACATGCAAAATCTTAAACATATCCGACCATTTCCATAACAAAACATCTGGCACAAAATTCCCAATATTAGACCAACTTTCATGCAGTAGTTCAAACATAATTTATCTAATCTCATGCAGAAAATGTGACAAGCAATACGTAGGGGAGACTCAAAATGCACTTAGGGAAAGAATTAACGATCACCGGTCTGACATAGTCACCAAAAAAGACAAACCTGTCTCAATTCATTTCAACCAACCAAATCATGACATTTCTGATCTCATTGTCACGCCAATAGAAAAGACCAAGAGCGACTTTGAAACTTCAGAAGAAATTAAAACGTTTAGGCTAACAAGAGAAAAATTCTGGATTGACAAATTGAAAACAGCCCCCCTAGGTTTGAATATTCATACGGCTAGCGCAAAAGCTCCTTTTGTAGTTCCATTTAGCGCAACAGCAGCAAGTGCGTCCAAAATCATCAGAAAACACTATACTGATCTCCAAGAAAATCACCCGAAAATATTCACACAGAAACTTATAATTGCATATTCTAAAAATAAAAATCTGAACGACATCCTAGTGCACAGTAAATTAGATTAAATAAGACCAGTCTCCACCCTGACCCAAAACAAACCATATATCAAATCCTATGCCTAACCGTTAGTAATTAAAATCAATTAGATATAAGAATCCCTAGCCGTAACCCGGTGATGTGGAACAAACACAATTTTTTTTAGAAAATCCAATCCGTTGTAGGAAACACACTAATGTGGCTCTCTCCCGAGAGCCTCAAATTTATTTTCTTTTTTCTTCAGAAACAATAATACCAGAATACCAGATGCACCACCCAAGGAAGACCATCGGTGCCACCAACACCAATAAACAGTGAAATCGCCTTTGTATATAAATCTAATGTATTGTATGTATTTTAATAAAACTAGGAAATATCACGAACTAATTTTTCATCATCCTAGGTCAGTGCTTATGTGGAGACTTAACCTCTCCCCCCAAATTCTTAAACCTAACCTACAATCTCGCCAACAATCAATATGCTTTAACCTTATTTACATCTCAGCGACCTTGACGAAAATTGAGCTGGCTTTTACAAATAGATTCAGCACCAAATCCACTCAGATATGGAAAACAAAGCTCTATTCTTTTGATATATCCATGGTCACAAATGAATGAAATGGAGTTTAACATCTTACTTTTCTGCATTCACCAACCGAGCTAAGGAAGACGAGTCTATGCCATGCAATGTACAGTGATGGGGTACATCTTGAGGACAGCCCAATTGTTTTTCAAATTGAACAATATCAGATTGTAACTGTATATTGTGAAGGATACTTACTTTAATTGACCAATGAGTTTTGCGTGCTTTTCTTTTTCTAATAATTCTTCTGGTTTTGGTGGTGCATTCATTCTAAGAAAAAATTTAAAAAATAAAAACGGGCAAACTGAGTATGCAAAGTTTCAAGATGATTCATCAAGAAATGTGTCCTGTAGATGACAAACAAACAAATACAAAAAAATGGATGTGGCTCTGCCCCTGGGGGTTGTGCATACACCAAAAACAATAGGGATCGTTCTTAGGGTATAAGGAATAAGTATACAGAGTTTCAAGACAATCCATTAAGAAATGCACCCTGTAGGCGACACACAGAGACAGGGGCGACCGCATAATAGGTCCACATTATGAATGTGGATGTATAAAAACTACTTGTTCATGTCGCGCATGTATTTTCTCAAAACCAGACCTCTGAATCTGATTGATTTATCAATATTTTAACTGAAGTCAATAAGTGCATCAGTTTGATAGGCATTATTGGTCCAGGCTTTGCTATTCATAGATTTGGAGGCTTTAAAAGAAAGCTGGTAAAAGCTGTAGGTAACCAGGTGGTGCCTAGTGTCATGCAGCACCTATGTGAGTGTGTCTTGCACACACTTTAATTCTACAATAAAACCTATAGATCTGTATTGTTTTGCACACTTTTGCTAACTTTTAGGGACAACTGAAGAATTTAGTTCCAAAGGTTAAAAAAAAAAGTATTTAAAAAAATGTTTTGTTTCATGATAACAATATGCCCCAATGGCAATATCCCAATACAGAGGCCATAATCCAGGATTTTACAGTCTGACATGCATCAATATTGCAAGGAACCAAGATCTTTGGAATATTAACCTATATATTTTATTAAGTTTAGCAAAATATGATAAAAATTGTAAACTCTAGAGGATTCTATATACAACCTTGCTATTACATGCTTATTGTACTATTTGAATAAAGGGAGGCGGGGGGCGGCCAGTTTGTCAGACACGCTCCGTTTGATTTTCACGGAATTCAACCTCAACCATAAATATGTTGTAAGGATTATGTATTTGAACAGTTTTTTAAAATCAAATACAAATTGTGACCTCTATATGGTCCACAAGCTAAAAACATGATTTTTCATACAATCAGGGACCATCCATCATCCAGGATTACACAGATCGATATGCCAGTATCGAAGGGAAATGAGATCTTTTAAAGAATATGTTTTCAGTTTGTCAAAATCGGGTAAAAATTGTGACAGCTAGAGAGTCCACAACATTGGTATTACATACTTTTACACTATTTTGTCCGGCAGTTTCAGTCTGTTTTTCACAAAATTCTAAGTCAATTGTCTAAAGGATCCAGAAGCTAAAAATGCGATTTTTTCTACAATCAGGGGCCATAATCAAGGAAGTTACTATGCGCCAATATTGAAAGGAACCAAGATGTTTGAATAAAAATTTAACCTCTAGTGTGTCCACAACCTCAATACATGATCCATGAAGTTATGGTCAGATACATGCTATATCGAAAGGAAGCGAGATCTTTAGGATGTACCTATATTGCAAGTTTCATCAAAATCGAATAAAAATTGTGATTATAGAGTGTCAACAAACAAAATGTGAACGGACACATGGTCAGGGGGCAGCGGCATAATACGTCCACATGAAAATGTTGGCATATAAAAATTGTGACCTCGGGGAGGTCCACAATCTAAAATGTGAATATATTATAGACTAAATTTCTTGAGCAAACTCCTGTAGCTCTTTAAAATTGCATTAATTAAAAGTAATTTTAATGACTTACATTTTCTGTTCATTATGTAATTCTATCAATCTTTTTTTACATTTTAATTGAACTTCTTGTATATTTTTCGATGGCTCTTCATACTATAAAAGGAGAAATAGCTTCAGTGTCCAAAGTACCTGATTTTAACATCAATAAGAATAATTTTGGACCATAATTACTGTAAGATCTTATGTTTTATTATTGCATGAATTGGGGGTTATGTCAACTCTAGTATTATATACAAGTCGAAAAAAATCAAAGATTCGGAGTGTGAACAATAACATCTGATATTATTCCACAAGAGAAAAATTATCAGCTCTGAAGATTAAGCTTACTTATTGCAATCATATTAATAATGATATAGATTGAAACCTACTGCTAAATATCTACTTCTTTCCTGTGGAGTCAATTTCTTTAATTCTTGGACTGTCAATTTCTTCATATTCTTGGGCTTGTATGTTTCGACATCATCATCTCTCGTGTCCTATAAATAAATATTTCTGAATGATAAGTGTTGTGCCTTAAGAAGAATGTATTCTTTTGGTCAACTAGAATGTAACTAATGACTAAATGGACTAAATGGAAGTCACACTGTCAATATATCTTTTTTGTAATAATTTGTCTTGTTTTTGACTTTAATTCTGTATTCAATCCAGCAAGTAGCATTCATGGTTCTTGCCCGAAGTCAAACCAATGTGTGACGAATTTCAACTTACTAATAATATAATGAATCCATTAAATTGATGCAGCATGTGAAAGAATTTAATATTTGAAAGACTTTCCTTTTTTGTCAATTTCATTTCATTACTTTATTATTAATTAATATTAATTACATGTATTTGTGATAACTACGCTTTAATCCTGCTTGGTTTTGGGGTAAAATTACCTACGGTTCTATACTATTACTAAGGACAGAATGGTATAATTACTGTTTACATAAATAACATCAATTATTCTGACATCTAGAAATGCTTGGAATTGGCCAAGTGTGTATCCAGACCTTCAAGTAAAAGGAGCGTGATCGCTCTCGCCTCCTGGATGTGCCTGGATGTCAGTCGAGGTGCGCTTTTTATCGCTAGCATCAATATCTAAATTGACTCCCCTCAAAGAAAATAATCAGGAAAAATATACCGGTAACGAAAAATACTGTCAATATCGACAGTCAAATTGCTTGTCGGCTACAATAACAGTCATCTGGTTCATAATCCTAGTAATTAGCACATTTAACGGTAATTTTGATAATTTGGTAAAAAAACCAAAACAAGCTTGCTGGTTATTCATAAGAGGTCCAGTAAGTTTCCTTTGTAAAAATAAGCCGCGTAGCGAATCGAGAAACCGACATAATATATTTTTCTGTCAGGATCTCCAATGCTTTCCAATTCCCGATAACACGTGAAATGCATCGGTTGGAATTAGGCCAATAAACCAGCATTGCTAGATTTAGTTTTAAATAGCTTTTTAGTTTTATTCTTTTTTTATTCTATACACATGCTGACAGGGAGTTATTTTTAAAAATATTGTCATTATTTAAGGCTATGGCATAGTCGTACAGAATTCTTATATAAAGCAATTTCAATTATGGTTGTCACATGATCATTGTGCCGCTTGTCTATCATCCACGAATGAATAAAAACTTTACGTGATAGACAAAAACAATAATCTATGTTTTAAATATAAAGAAATGCCATGGTATCGTATAAGCTTATCTTGGCTACTGCATTTTCTGATACTGACCGTAGTCGAAAAATCCTAATTTCGATCAACTGTATTCTGAAGACAGTAATTCTACTTGAAAATACTAATACTAATAGTGTTAAATTATTATAAATTTGTGTCAGATATGGCAAGAAATGATTCCTTTTGGCGAAAAATAGAAGGTAAGGATTCCAAATAGCCTTAGGTTAGAGAAGAGAGGTGGGGAAGAGCGGTATTTCCATATTGGAGCTCAATAGGGACGGATAGGAGCGGTCAGCGGACAACATCCGATACGAGACTGTTCCTAAAGGAACTAGTTTACTAGGCCTGGCCTCAGTTGTGCCTGTTCTGGAATATAGTAATATACTGAATTGGCCAAATTCGAAAGGCAGCTACTATCTGACCCTTCCTATTTTTTAAATGGAATTCTTTGATTGTGAACAAACTATTTAACTTTGGTTATTATAAACTTACGTGTGTTTGAAATCAACTCCAGGTTAAATAAAACCCACTGCACAATTAAAGATACATTAGTTAAGAGTTCAATAAAGAGTTGGTCATTCTTGCTATAATAATTCAAAAATAGATGATGAAAAAAGAAAATATTGAAAATTTCATTCAAATTACTTCATTCTCAGCCAAGTTATCATTGTTTGTAGTTTTGACAAGATGCATGCACAGTGGTAACCAGGGTACTAGTATAATCGGGACTTAGCCTCGCTTTCCCATTTTTAAATTAAATTTTTAAATGGCAAACCGTTTTAATCTAGTTAAAATCTTGAGTATCCAATGCCATCGAGAGTCGATTATGGTCTTGTTTTGTTAATAAATGTCTAATTAATAGATTAGATAACATTTCAGGCCTAAAGAAAGACCTGCAATAGGCAGATTTAGCTCTTACATAGTGTATGTTTAAATATTCCAACAAACTCACACAAACTTTTGACATCGGGCAATACCAAAATGAAGCCCGATTGGGCTTCGTCACTCTTCGGGAGAGATCATTTCGTATGAAGGGTTGACAGCAAGTCACCTCGAAACGGTTTGCATGACATTTAAGACAATTCAAGGTAAAAGCTGTCAGTCTCGGCTTGGTATTGAGTTTGAGCGTTCACACATATATAACTGCCTGTATCCCTTTATTTTATTACCATCTTTTTACATTCTAGTAAAATCCCAGTTTATAGATTTTCTTTTGAAATATTTGGTTTTAATTATTTGTTTAGTCAGATGGGAGAATTTTCTTTTGAACACAAATGCAGCACAAAAATAATGACATTCGTTTAACAGGCTTTAAAATTGTTCCCATGTTGTTTGTTAAATTATTTATAATAAAGAAGATAGGACAGTTTTAATTTATATATTATGACTTTATTTTTACGAGTATCCGTGCAATCATTGATATTTTCATTGTGAATAAAATTTGGTAGACAGGTCATCAATGATTTCAATATATATCTTCTATGTAATTGCCTTCAGTTGATATTTTTCATTGCCCAAGCGATCGCAGTTTGTTTTCATTGCAACACGTGGTTGTCAAACTCTCTGTCAGATTTAAACCACCCCTGCAACACCCTCACTGGTTTCGCCCAAAACGTGACGAAAGCAGTGCTGTCTTGTACTCAGTCGAAAATATAAGTGACGTAGCCCAATCGTGCTCCATTTGGTATTGCATATTCAATTTTTTAAGAGAGAACATTTTTATTCATTGGGACATTTAATTGTGCAATGGATTTTATTTAACTGGAGTTGATTTCAAACACACAGGTAAGTTTATAATATTAATATATCCAAAGTCTTGGCAAAGTTACATAGTTTGTCATAATCGAAGAAATCTGTTTAAAAAATAGGAATGTTCAGACTTTAAAGTAGCTAAGTCTCTAACTCAATATCATCCAAAATCTTCAACACTGAAAACACGATTTATTTGTCAAATTAAATCAACATTCATGTTGTGATCTTACCGGAAAAAGATGGGCTTTTGATATCCAATATTTAAGACAAAATAAACATTTTACCATTGGTACACGAATCGTGTACCATAATGCGCTTCAGCCCCAGTTGTATCAAGAGACTCGAGGGACGAGGCTAGACACATTGCACCAAATCAAACGGCGTATGTAGACTGGAATAACCAGATGCTAGAAATTTGCACTCGCTTGAGACTGCTGGCTTATTTCACCGAACATAACTGATTTGAAATTGGAGTAAAAACTGAAACCATTGAATGTAAATCAGTTTATATACATTCATATTACAGTATTATATGCGTTGCGACCCACTTTTGTCAATTTCTAGGTCCCAAATGTTAGCGATTTAGCTCCTTTAAATGTTATTTTAATAATGACATAATAATATAATAATATTATATAAATTATATCACGGACAACATTATAAGGTCTATGTATGATATTATAAAAATTATAATATCGGCATAGATGATATAGCCTATGGCTATGCCGATAACAAAAAAAAAAAAAGATTTTAATTTTAATTTTAATCAATTATTTAATGTTAATGTTGCAATTCTTTTTTTTTTATACTAAAGACTTATCACTATTAAAAATCTTACCGCCATCTTTAACGAGTTTTCTATGAAACAGTCGTTAAACCATTTAATTATAAGTTAAATATTTAGATTTTCCATAAAACAATGACAATGTTTACATTATTTATTTCGATTTTCTGCCATATTGTATATTGTCATGGCAATCACACTTCTCGTGAGATTACGCAGAATAAGGGAGAGAACTCTCAGAAGTCGGAAGTAAACACAAATCGAACAAAATTCATGTAATTTTCGGCGATATGGCATATTTTATAGCATATTTGTCATGATTATATAATAAGGACACGGTATTGATAAAGTAATTTACTATTTTATCTGTGACACATTAAATTATTTTGTTAAATTGTGTGAAATATATGGTAGTAAACATATACGAAACGAGTGATTGTCAGGTCTTTTGATGCACTAGTCCAGAGGCACTACTTTGAATGAATGTGGAAATTATGTGTGTAATAGCTTTAATTTACGTCCACTTCCACGTTATATAAGATTCTCAAATAAACGAGAAGTGGTAGACCCTTCTAGTTTCCAGTGTTAAGAAGACTGGGAATACTGGTTATAAAAAGATACAAATGGCAGGGTATCCGGTAGCACAACATATAATCATATTTCAGTCCCGTGTCATTTGGGACTCAACACAGACGACCTTTCGGACGTAGTTTGACGACGGTTCAGACTTACTTGATGACTTTTCGGACTCGTTCTTTCGACATTTAGGACACGGTTTTAGACTCGGATTGATAATATATTAGTAACGGCTGGTGTTTTTTGTTCCCCGTCCGTCGGTCTCTCTGTCTGTCCGTCACACTTTTTGGGACACAATAACTCTATTTCTAATTGAGCTAGAATGTTCAAACTAGGTGTAGGTGTTTATTAGGTCAATGCCTTGATGGAGTTCGAAGATGAGCATTTTCTGCTTAGGGTAAGCAGAGACAAGCAATTTGATTGGTTGATGTTTTGTGACACGATAACTTAGTTCTAATTAAGTGAGAGTGAAGAAACTTGGTGTATAGTTTCAATACATCAATACCTTGACTAAGTTCGATAATGAGCATTTTCTACTCAGGGTTAGCAATATTGCGATAAGCAATTTGATTGGTCGAGACTTTGGAACACAATAACTCTCATTTTAATTTAGTTAGAATGTTCACACATGGCGTAGGTGTCTATTAGATGAATGCCTTGATAGAGTTTGAAGATGAGAATTTTCTACTTAGGGTAAGCAGAGATAAGCAATTTGATTGGTTAAGCTTTGGGCACGATAATTTTAGTTCTAATTAAGTTAGAATGAGGAAACTTGATGTATAGCTTTATTAGGACTGAGTTCAATGATTAACATTTCGAGCTGAAGCTAAGCAGAGCTAATCAATTTCATTGGTTGAGGCTTTGGGACAAGATAATCTTGATTCTATCTGATAGAGAGTGATGAAACTTAGTGTATAGTTTGATTGCTCGATACTTTTAAAAAAAAAATAAATGTGCGATTAATCAGTATGTGTCATCTATTTATTTTGGGATTTTGGCGGGGGACATCAGCCTCAGTGTTGGCTTGTTTTTTTTTCATTTTATGTGAGGCTGATAGTTTTCTTTTGTTTTATTTAATTGATCGGTGATTGATGAGACCGATAATAATAGATTAACACTGCTTGTTCTTTTTTGTTTTTCTCTTATCAAACAGTAAACAAACTTGATTGACCGACCGCTGCTATTGTTTTGATAATTGTGAAAGCCGAATGTGTTTTACATGAAACGGAATAATTGCAATCTACACACCGCCGAAATTATCAATGATTGACAACTCACGTTTTTCCTCATCCACCAAAGAATTGTGAGGTTTCTTTGCACATACTACAATAACATCAGGATTATCGGTTATCAGCTTTAATTATCCTGCTTTGATCATTGCCATTTCTGATATTTTCCTAAAATGCTTTTCTTTGTACGCACTATCGATTGGACTTTCTTTTCAAATAATAGTTCTTGATCTATTTCAGAAGGGATCATAATATTAAATGTTTATTTATGATTTCACATTTCAGAAAATAAGATTAAAATGAAAGCATTACTGAATATTATCAGATCTCTCTTCAACTTAATACGATATTTATTATCTCCCCTGAAGAGAGCAGTATGTCGGAGAAGACGTTCATCAGATAGCGATTTCTCAACACCTATGGGTATGATAGATAGTAATTCAATGTCTATAGACATGACACAATCATACCCGAGCAACAGTGATGTAAGTTTGAAATTTTTTTAGAAATATAAATAATCAATGGGACTTTATTACAGTGATTTTGGTCCTGTTTGTCCTTTGGCAGATCTTAGCGGATTGTAAAAAAAAGATGTAAATAATTAAGATTAATTACACTTAAGTTCTTGTTGAAAGAGATTATTCCTCATGATAGATACCTGACTGTTATAATTCAAAGAAAATGTAAATATTGCCTTCTGGAACAAATTAAGTTTCTTCTATTGATCTGCATTCCTTCCTAAATTTTTATTGTTTCAGATCCAGATGGAATCTTGGGATACTTGGGGTGACCAATCATCAGATCACTATAGCAAAACACAACAGCATATAAATGATTATAGAACTAAACTGCAGAAAGAGGAACCTGAGCCAGAACCTGAACCAGATTATTTTGGTGGAATGGAACCATCTTTGAAAAAAACACAAAAGGTTTGTTTGTTATGGCAAGGGTTAAACTAGGAAAAAGAAAATATCTATATCTATAGCAAAATATTTGAAGCAAAATATACATCTCCAGTTTAGCATTTCATCAAATTCCAACATTTTACATGTACTTATCAGCCCTGAAGGCACTACACCTGACAAGTGGAAACCAGACTTGAAAAATCATATCAGGATTCAAACTCAGGACATTTTAATTTTTAAAAGTTATCGAAAGTTTAAGTTAGTACCAGTGTTCAAATCTACACTTTAATATAATAGTAATAACTCATAACGTCCCAGCTTTATAAAATTAAAAGTTGAACTTAATGAAAATGGAAGTTTTATATGGACTTGTGATAAACTGAGAACAAAACAGTTTGTCGGGTATAGATATGGTTTATAACCTCATAAAGTAAATAATATTTGGTTTCAGATTGTTATTAAAAAAAGGGGTGATAATTTAGTAAACAAAACAGCGATATCAAATCGTCTAGCCATGGTGTCAGATATTCCTATGCAGGTATAGTATGATAATTCATATCAGTAAAATGGTGTTAATCTAGTTGAAGTAATTTGAAGTGTTGATTTTTTTTATTTTAAGTTTAATTTCAGTTTAGTTTTTATAAGTCTGTTTTATAGAAATTAACTTTCACACATAAAATATTATGTTTATTTCGGTTAAAATGACTCTCCTTCCTGATTTCACTGGCTCTTCTACTACTTGATGCATTATTGTTTGATTTTATAGCATCTTTGTCTTATTCTTCAGGGTTCTGAACTTGATACATGGGAGGATGAAAATAGTGCATGGGATCAAGTAGGAGAGGAAGATTTGTCTTACGAGGCAGAGACAGCCATTAAAGAAAAACGCCGTGCAGAAAGACATCAACGTCATTTAGAACAACAAAAAAGAAAACTTGAAAAAGAATCACGCCTTGGCCGAAAAGATAGAGATATAGTTGCTGTGAAATTATCGTGATAGTGACAAATCTAAACAAATTAACTATGATTCCGATAAACTAAGTTCTTAAATAACAGACCATAATCATGATAAGTCATTTTCGTAATTGGCAAAGCCTATCTCATACAAAGTACTGATCTGAAACTTGTAAAACAGTTAATATTTGGTGGTAGTGGAGAGGAGTCTAATAATAGAAGAGGATGTGTATTGTATCTAATTTGCAGAGTGAAAAACAATTTGATTTTTAGATGCTTTATCAAAAGATAACTGTGCAAGTAATTAATTAGTAATTATATTGGGATTTAGGCAGGGGATGTCAGCATCAATGTTGGCTTTTTAATTGATCTATTATGGTGATTTAAACTTTGCGCTCTGTGTAAGAGGCAGCTATACGGATTGGATATGCATTAGATTTCTGCCAATTCAAATAAATCAAATATGCCTCAAGAATTACGAATGTCTATGATACTGGTAACCACAGTACTTTATAATTTATTGTATTTTATTTTTATTACCTTACCATTTGCAGATTACAATTTGACAAATGGCAAATATTTCTGATTCTGATGGTGGTTAGAATATGTTCACTGACTGGCCCCACCCCTATCTCCCTCTCCTCCCTCTTCTATAGGTGACTTAACAAAATTACTGTAAAATGAATAAGTATGTGATGATGTCACATATGTTGAGAAATAAAATTGAGATAATGAATGTGGTGGGGTTGCATACAGAATAATTATCTTGGTCACTGTTTATCTAGTATTTTATATTACCAATCAAGATATTAGTTTTAATAGGGCGTCTGGTCAGAATATATATATCCACACTTTATATGTTAGGGTAAGAATTAATAGACATGTAATAAGTGCATCTAGAAATAAATATAACCAATCATATAAGTCAATGTATAAAGTTTGGGCCTTTGAAGGAAAACAGGGTTCGTTTGCATTTTCATCATTAATCATGTATATGTGAAACAGTCATTTTATTTTTTAAATTTGGATCTTTTAACAAGTTAGTTTGAAATCTAATATTTGGGCCTTGTTTAAATTATAAATTAAAATGTATCCTGGTTAAATGTTGCAGTAAATGTGGTTGGTAGAACAAATATATTGAGGGAACGAAACAATAGTATGTAAATATGGGTTAATTATAATGTTAATGTGTATTGTGTTTATATATTTTTATAAATTTGGCTACAGTATGGCCACATTTTGTATGCCTCATATTCTGCACATGGGGCTCAACGTTATCTGGTTTCTTGGTAGGACATGTGAAAAATATTGATGCAGTACTATTGTAGGTCTAAGATGTTGTGAATGCAACCAAATTTGGAGTGAATCTTACAAGCTGCAAAGGCAAAACGAGTCGAGTAAGATTCTTTTTGAATTCAATCCTCTATTTCTCTCCCTGTAATCATCCAAGCATTCCCAGAAAATGGGAATGTGACCATACTGTATCATCTGTATGCTGCATGACAGAGTTATTACTTCAACTGGAGAGTTTAGTATTTTCCAAGGTTTTGAATTTTAAGTACATGTACTTCCATTCCAAATCATCCATAAAACAATGATTGACAAAATAAACATATGATATTGATCTGTACCTGGTTTGGTTCACTAATCAAAATAATTAAAATGGATGTAATCAAATCGATAAGTTTTCTACAGATAGCCTGGATCTCTTGTGTAAACAAATTTTTATTCTGTTATTCTCAGTGGTTATGCGATTTTGGTGTGTAAAATAAACGTGAAATAAAAATGGTTCAAAAGTCTATCTGATGTATTTAGAACATTCCATATCATTTCAAATATTAAATTATATAAGTGTGTGGAGTCTGCAGGAAGTTTTTTCTCAAGCTACCCACTTTCTTAAATGGAATACCCATAATCAAGAATAGCTCCATAAGAGAAACCAAACTGGTGTGTGCTTAAGAGTAATTCTGTTATAGTGGCAGATACAGGATTTTAACAAAGGACTGAGAGTGCAACTCGGCAATTCAAAATTTTCAAATCATGTGGACGTATTATGTCTTCGCCCATTTCGGGATGTTAATTCACATTTGTTTGTGGACACTCTACAGGTCACAATTTTTATAGGCTCACATTTTAGTGTGGGCGTATTGTACCGCCACCCTGTTCGTCCGTCCCTCAATTGGCATGTGAACACGGTAGAGGCTACAGTTTTTGATGGATTCTTAAATTTGGTGTGAAGTATCGTGGTCATGAGAGGACGAACCCCGTCAATTTTCCCTGTTTTGCCCCCTTTACTAAAACCTTATGAACATTTTGACGGATTCTTTTAAATTTGGTTTTGAGCATTATTATCAATTTTCAGCATTCTGTGACTCCCCAATCCAGAGTTATCCCCCCTGAAAACCTTGTGAAGGCGATAGAGGCTGTAGGTTTTGATGGATTCTTTTCAAATTTGGTGTGAAGCATTGGGGTCATGAGAGGACGAACCTTATCGATATTCAGCATTCTATGACTTTCCATTTCAGAGTTATCCCCTCTTTGCTGAAAACTTTGTGACTGCTATAGATGGTGTAGTTTTTAACAGATTTCTTTCAAATTTGGGGGGAAGCATTGATATTCTGCAACTTTCCATTCAGGAGTTAATAGAGGCTGTAGTTTTTAAATGGGCCTTTTTTATATTTAGTTTAAACATCGGGATTTTCCAATGTGGTTTCCCCTTGTCAGTGGTGCAGGATGGAGGGCCTGACAAAGACAGCTGTCTAGTCGTTCGGATGGGATGAAAAACCGAGGTCCAGTGTATACATTGGCGTGCACGTAAAAGATCTCTTGACAGTTAAATTTTGATATAAAAGTAGGCCAAGTGCCACTGCCCAAGCAAAATTTCCATCATAGCACACCGTATGGTGTATGACCGTCTCCATTAGCCCAGTCGGAGAAGAACAGTTAAACCTCATTTCATTTCATTTAGTATTTGGCTTGAAGCATCGCCAAATGGATTTGAACACATTTTTTTCAAATTGGTTGTTGGAGGCAGTGGGGTCATATGAGGATGAACCCAAAAGATTAAATTTCTTCAAAGATCCTAGATCCTTATCAAATTTGCTCGTCATCCAAGTTTTCCTTTCATCCAAGTTGAGACAAAGCTGCTATTCCACGCTTTGCTTGGCTATCTTTTATTACCAGTATACAATTTTGATGAAATTTATTATAGCAAAACATATTTTTATATCCCAAACATTTCGAAAGGCACATATCAGATCATAACTTCCTGGATTATGCCCCAGAGGTCACAATATATGTTTGATTTTATGCTAAATGTGATATATGTACAAAGTTTGTGGGCCCTTGAGAGAACACTATTTTGCCCGATTCCGATGAAACACAGTGTATATGGTCATCAAACAAGAAAAATTTCCAAACAATTCTTAAACGGATTTTATCCTTATTTTGATCCACATGATAATCGTGAAATACGAAACAGTAAGAAAATATTTTACTCGAACTCTAAATTTGAAGACCTCAACAGAATGACGCACAAGTGTTTTGTCGCGCCCGAAGTAAAAACATAATAATTTTATGTGATAAAATTCTGAATGTTCAGAAAGGTTTATCATATTTTAAACATACATTATGCAAGAGCTAAATCTGCCTATTGTGTGTCTTTATTTAGGCTTCAGATGTTATAGAAATTATTAATTAGACCTTTATTTACACGACAAGCTCAAAATCAACTCTGTAGACCCATGGATGGCTTGGATACAGTTTGGATTTAAACAGTCATCCATTTAAAATTAAATTAATAAATGACGGACCAAGCTAACGTTTACCGTTAGTCGCTGATGTCACTACCGGATACTGGTGATGATAGGCCTGCCAAGCGAGGCTACCATAGCCATTGAGCATGTTATTTGATAATCGAGAATATGTGGGTGGAGTTATCGTCTGTCAATCATCTATTTTATCATCTATTTTTGAATTATTATAGCAAGAATGGCCAACTCTTTATACAACTCTTAACTAATGTATCTTTAAGTTATGGGTATTCGAGCCATTTCGACGGTGCATTAAAATAATACTTTCGGTATTTGAGGTACAATAATACTTCCGGTATTGAGGCAATTGAGTATTCCGTCATGCTGTATAATCCGGCATATTGTATCGATCTCGTACGATGTCGGAAGTGACAAGAGTCCACGGTATTTTAATATTGTCAACGATTTCGAATAATTATATGAGACTAGGAGTTATGCCCCGTGATCAATTTGAAATAAAATTGTACAATGTTAGTCCTGAGATGATATAGTGTGTATTGAGTAATCGTTAAACCAGGACGCAAATAATGATCCAAATTTCTCTGTTAAAAGGTAAAATACTCATTTTCGCCCAAACCATGGAATTTTGTCATCACCACCATGTCTATTTTTGTTGTGCAATGATCATAGATAACAGGTAAGTAAACATTTGTTGGTCGAACTGAGTTGATATCCGTGTTTCTCACCTTTCTATTGATTGAGAAGGGGTTTCATATGAGTTATTTTCCCATGAATTTGATTATCTGGACCTTTGGCATAATAAAAGAAATGAAAGGGATTTTTCATCTTTCAAGCAGTCTGTGTATCAGTAAAAATATAACAAATTGAGAAGAAGATTTCTATTTAAAGGGTGTATGGCTCGATTCTTCAGAACCTTAAATGGGTGTAAAAGCAAATATTAATGTAATATTAATGCATATAAAGTGATTTATATTCAATTTTTAAAATATATATTATAATTTCTAATCAATTGAATTCAAATACATGAAGAGTCCCAATTTGAACGAAAGTCGTTTATGTCTGCTTAGTCCATTCTACACGTATTTTTAATTATTATTTTGTTATTTTGTGAATCCGCCATTACTAATTACTTCCTCATTGTCTTATAGGATATGTTTTTCTTCGTTGATTACAGATGGCACTCGAAGCCACAGAGTACAACTACAATACTGGTGTACTAGTTTTAAAATGTTTATTGTGTCTTATATATTGGATATTTGGATCCCCGGTTGTACGTGACAAAGAGTAGGGTCGCCCGTCCAACCGCGTGGGTTTTCTCCGTGTCCTCCGGCTTCTCCCCACTGCTAAAGAACCCCTACGCCCAAGCGAATTATTGAAATAATATTGAACCATATATTAGTCCCGGAATGACATAGTTTATGTCGAGTGGACGTTCAATTCTCCCCCTCTCTCTCTCTCTCTCTCTCGTTGCACCAAATATATCGACATAATTATATATTGTGATATAAATATTTATTTTAAGAATCTTGAAGAGCCCGAGATTGTAGTCATCACTCAATAAAAGGGAGAGAAAAAGAAGAGAAACCAGTGACTTGAGAAGTAAGTTTAAGTAAACTATCCTAGAAAATAGTGCACTGGGTACAACAGATGATACCAACTGCACAATGCATTGGATGATAAACCCAGACAACTCTAATGTGGGTGGAAATACCGCTGTCGGGGCATAATTTCCCTCTCCTATTATGTTAATCTCAAAATGAACGGAGAGTTGTGTTGACGAGACATTAAATTCTTTCTTCTCCTGTTTTATAAAATGCCAATAGCTATATACTTGCCGCTGTGAATCACATTAATGAAAAATGAATGTACAAATATTGCAATATAATAATCTCGTTTATTCCCCAGTGAGTGTATAAACACATAATTTTTATTTTTATTTACTTTATGTACGGTGTATATATATAAAAGGGCTATGTATAAAACAGTGACACAATTAGCGACGGCTATTTATAGAAAGATGTACAAGATGGCGCTAAAATTCAAATAATATACAAATTATATAGATATAAATAACGAGCGTAGATTAATATATACAATATACATCTGTAACAAGAAATCACATCAATACGATAAAAAAAGAAGACTGCAATTTAGTTCACATGTTAACTCTTGAACATTGGGAAACTTAACCAATTATTTTCAGCAGTAGATTTATTTTTACATCGGCAATTTATATATTGTACAGCTCTCTGGAATGTTTACACCACTGTGACTATGATGACCAAATTCATTTCATAAATTATTTCAGAGAAATAAATAATAATATATCAGCCTGAAAACTTCCATGCTGATGCTTTCATTATAACCATATTCTGAATATCCGTTGCATTCTTGTTTTATATATAAGAGCGTTCTATTATGAATGGAAATAAATACACGCCAAAGCTCCATTGAAGCTATATATCAAAACGAAGCAAAAACTAGCCGATAAGAGCTACAAGCATATAATATCGAGAACTGTTGATAAATGTGTATGACTAGAGATTTGAACTTTATAAATAATAATCTATAACAAAAATGTATCGAAATCCTAAGTACTGAAATTAGGGATTGACATATGCCTCAAAATTACACACGACAGTCGATTACTAAAAATTATAAAATAAAACTTTGTAAATAATGAAAATATGTGAAACGAGAACAAACATTATAAAAACTGATTAGTTGCAACATACGCAATTCTTGGTAACGATATGTATCTAGAACTATTTCACCGTTGCCATTCGTTGTATTTCAAAAATTATATAATAAAACTAATATCATTCCAACTAGCTTGAATGTACTGGATAAAATCACCGGGAGAATAGCCAAACTTTTAAAATTAAATCAAATCAGTATCTACACAACATTATTGCAGTAAAGGAAATGCAACAATGGTCAAGATAATAATATATCTAATCAAAGGTTCAAGCTGCGGTCGAATAAAGTATGAAAAATATACATTACCTTTAAATTTCAATTCAAGTCTACTTTTACTGATGTAACCTGAGTTAAAACATGTAGAAGTTATTATCATCAGAATACGACTTAACATTTATATGTAGTAGAATATTTATAGGGGCGTCTTTTGGAGAAATGTCAAATATTACAAATCAAAACGTCATAATATGAGAATGCCAATAAGTGTAAATGACAATCTGTAGACAAAACATAAAAGGGAGACCAAATAATATAATAAATACATATTTCTGCCTCTCAGATAATACAAATAAATCTGAACCAAAGGTAATTTCTTTGTAATTTCAAAACTGAAAACACGAAATTTTGGGCTAGAAAAGTACGCACGTAATTAAGGAAGAAAAATAAATACCTGGAAATAAAATACATACTTAAATATTGCTATATATTTGAAAGCGCCCGTGCTTTGCCGGTTCCCGCACAATTCACTTATACCGCGCATTGCACGCTACCCGCCGGTTATGAACTTTTAGATTACATGTATACTTGCGCAGTTTGATTACAATTGCTATAATGGTTAGCGGTTTTATTAAATTAGCATTCGCATAAAAAGATAATAGTATAAGTTGCCCTTCCAATAAAGATACTTAATGTACATGTGCAATATTTCAACACCATAAAAAAAACTAGTTATGCATTAAATGCGCGTACGCAGCAGGAGCATTACACAACCCTATGTGCATATATGTTTTGCGAACTCCTAGAAAATAGTTAAAATTTGGATTCAGCTTTAGATCAAAACATTAAAACACAAAAACCTATATGCCTAACAGACCCCACAATAAAGTTGAAGGAACGTTTTACCAAAAGTTTTTTTTGTTTCGGGCTTTTATTTTTTTTTTTGCAATTTCCACCCCACCCACTATCGTTTCATGGTTTCAAACAATGTCACTTTATTTGTATGCTAAAAATTACCTTAAACTTTAGATTCCACCCACTCTTTGTGACCCGTTTACGAAATGATACTGGTCTTTCTACATGCTATTCTTTGCGTGGCACTTGCTTTGTTATGAATATATTTGTAAGTTCAGTTTCTCTGGAAATTAAGTCAAATGTTTCATGTCGTAACTGAATCCAATTTTAAAGAACAAGGCTTATTAACAAGAATATACAAAATAACATACAAATAATACAAAGTTTACATATAATATACACAATTGTGTGATGAAGCTCCGGCCGCCTTTAACATGTTGATAATACTTTTACATAAATGTACTATAAATATACAAAATCTCGGTGTTTTTAAGGATGTTCCCTGTTTGCTTACGTCACGTATGAACAATTCGCTCACTTCCTTGTCGAGACGCACACTTCTGGAACATCCGCCATTCGCATTAATTCTGGTGGTGAGTTTAACACCATTTTGGCTTAAAATGTCCTATCATCATAATTGCCAACGCAGAAAGGCGTTATATTAATTATTCATTAAAAAAACTAAATCGGAGGAAATTTCTTATTTGCCCAAAAGGGCTTTGAACAACTTTGAAGACTGCTTTTCGTCTCTTTTGATTCTGCCATCTAATTCTAATCCCGATTCTCGTTTTTTGATGGCTGCTTTGGTTGCTCTTGTTTTCGCCGACTCCTTAGTTGTGTTGTTTGTTGTAGATGTGCTTTCTGTAGTTGGGATGGTGGTCTTTTGTTCTTCAAGTGTTGTTGATGTTAGTGTTGTCGTTGTATTATCTGTTAAGAAGAAAAGGGATGCAATGTTAGAAAAATATGCCAAAGTTTTCGCCTTCCATTCTCTTCTGGTCCATAATAACTTAGTTTTTATCAGTGGTCTAATATCTTGAAACACTAGCTCTTTATATTGATCAGTTGGTTCTATGGTAATCAAATTTCGAGAAAACCTATAGATTTAAATATTGACTGATTTCGAATTACTGCTAAATTTTCTCTTGTTATATAAAACCATAGAATGCCAATGACTCAAAGATCGGCATTTCATAGATCATTCGCTAAAATGAATTATTGAATTTCACTGACGGCTGAATCGTCAGACACCGATTCAAGGGGCAACTATAGAAATGGAACTACGCCTGTTTAGGGGATGAACATTTTAAGGAATTCTAAATGTCGAGAATGGAAGAACAAATTATAGGGGATGAACATTTTAAAAATTCTAAATGTCGAGAATGGAAGAACAAATTATATGGAGGCTACTTTCATCATTTTTTAAAAAATAAATACCTAACAATGAACAAGGGAATAAACTTATTAGTTAAAAGACACAGTATAATATCGATACCCAATATTCACAATATTACAATGTTTATGTGAATCTTACCGTGAAATGAAATAACTTACCCACAACTGACCACATTTATTCATGTCTATAAACTATATCATTAATCATGGCAACAACGAGAAGAAAACCAAGAGTCTAATGTAAACATGAAACGTTCAGTTGTAATTGGCTAAATAAAAAATAATTTTGGAGTAGGGCACTATTACATTTGGCGGGGCACAATTTATTTTTCAAAAATTACTTATCCATGGTATTAAAGGTACCTCCACCACATCTTAATTTTGATGGATTAAGTACGTTATATAGTAATATACGCCACTGTTTCTACCGCCACACATTCATCACAATTGGGTAGGAATAAACTAGGCTGTAATCGCTCGATTGCTACCAACTTCACATAAAGACCCCTTGGTTTTCTTCACTGCAAATTATCCAATAACCCCCACAATATTGTATAAAATAGTACATAGCCTACAGAGGACGATGCGACCCACAAGGACTATCACCCTCATACATTCTAAAACCGAATCCCAGTCATGGCCATATATAGGGTTATTAGAAATCCATGTACACCACGAATCGCTCACCATGCAAGAAACAATATATTCTTAGAACGATAATAATAACATCAGATTGAAATACGAACATCCTCCAAACGACTAATCAGCTAAATTTCTCAATGATATAAATATTAAGTAGTAGCTCAGTATTGCTGAAAAGTATGAGAAGTTCGTGATCACAGGACACTATCCGTCTCAAATGAAATGGTAACAGCAGTTCTATACCATTTTTAGTAGGTTGTTCGAAAGTGATTTTTGTAAGCCCCGAAGGGGTCATTCTCATATTTTTAAGCATATTCTTACTATTACTATATATTTATCTTCAACAATTCCCGATGGGTTTACTTCGTTAATATACTTTATTTGAAAAGCCAGTAGGCCAAAACCAAAGAAATCTCATTACCATACTACGAATCCCAAATTCCAAATACAAGTCAATAACTCATGACTCGGTATACCGAATCGACCAACCAAAAGAAATAAACATTTAGAAACCCTAACTAACCATCCTAAAATACCATAGAAGTTCCCACAATCAAGTATTATAGCAATATCCATTTGTCCATGAACCGCATTCTAGTTAAAGGGATAGGACCTCCTCGGTTTATGTCAAAATAAAATAATCAAGATTGCACGAAGCTCGGTACGTTACACAAGTTAATTCTTCGTCATCATACGATGCTATTTAAAGATGCATTTATATTAGATTTAGATAAAGAGTTGGTCGTTTTTGCTATAATAGTTAAAAAATAGATAATGATAATGGATATATTGAACATTTCATTCAAATTACTTTATTCTGGGCGTATGACTGTTTGGAGATGTAGTATAGATCGTTTATTATCGTAGCAACGGTACTTGTCAATCAAGACTAAGTCTCGATTATCCATTTTATTTATTTTCGCGGGTGTTCAAATCCATTTACATCTCTGCCATCCGATGGTCCAGAGAGTTGATTACAGGCTTCTCATGTAATTAAATGTCTAAATAATAATTTGAATCGGAAACAAAGATATACAATAGCCAGATTTGGCTCTTACATAATGCAAATTTAAGCCAGAAGGTGGTTGAATTCATATGATTGGCTGAAACAATTCAAATATGTTCAGATAAATACAAAACTAATTTTAGTCTAGCTTAACCAAATTTCTTACGTCGAATCGCACAAGGCCATACACCGAAGGTAGTCAAACTTACAGTCATAACCGAATAGAAAATAGTGCCTGTCACTAGTGCTAGGCCATTCTTCACACAAGTCTCGCTATTCAGCGTTAGTGTGAACTGCAAGGGAAGACAACCCTGTCTGGGAGATTGGTGCTAGGCAATACATCGCGATTTGCTTTGATCCCGCGTTTTGTCCAATTTTTAATGGAAATCCCCATTAAATCTAATGCCAAACTTCCATTGCATATAAGGGGAATCTTTGATAATACTTCCGTATTGCCACCACGAGGAAAGATTTTTCTAAAACAAATTTTTGATTTATTATAATAATAAGAATATCTTAGGAAAAAGTCAATATAAGATATAATAGCTATTGGATTGATAAATATAATTAGGAAACAAAAACAAACTAAAACACCAAACAATGTGCATTACATGTAAATAACAAGAAATCGACACAACATCAATCAAAACAACACAAGCTAAGTCATGCTGACACCAACACTCAAACAAAATCAAAGTAAATGTAAAGGCAAATAACTTTGCCTTGAAATGAAATGAAAGGGGGTTTATGAAGACGGGCATGCGCCATACATTGTGCTATGAGGGAAATTTTGCCCGGGCAGCGGCACAATGGCCTATTCTTATATCTAATTCCAACTGCCAAGGGATCTTTTACGTGCACGCCAATGTATACACTGGACCTCGGTTTTTAGTACCATCAAAACCACTAGACAGCTGTCCTCGTCAGGCCCATCGTCAGCTGCACCACTGACGGAGAAACCACGCTGGAAAGATCGTTTGACAGTTGAATTCGATATAAGAGTAGGCTGTAACGCCGCTGTCCGGGCAAAATTTACCTCATAGCACACTTCATTAGCCCAGTCGGAGCAGAACAGTAGGACGCTAAACCCCATTTCATTTACGAAGATGTTCATCCTACTTAAATGACATTATGTAGTGATTGGAACTCTTCCAGGCACTTTCTCGACCAACACCGGAAGCGAACCCGAGAGCTCTCAATTTTATATAAGAGCTTGGTAAAATTTCTAAATTAAAGGGTGATGGATAGCACAACACATATGAATTAAAAAAAACACCAACTGCATAACAACAAACTAAATCAACACCAAGATAATCCGAAAGCAACAACAAATGACCCTTTTACCGACATTTAACACTTATTCCTTATACATTACCTTCTTTAAGATGACTTCGTAATTGGTATGCGCGAGCACAAATGTGCAGACGGTTGTGATTAATATTTCTTAATTGAACTTTCGAGATTTGATATTAGTTGTAATAAAAGCGACAACACAAAGTTAGTTGTAAAAGTGAAAAATAGTAGGCCTAAAACTAGGCAAAGCGTTGTGAAGCGAAACTAATTTGACGAGGGAACTCACCTTATTATCGACCAGTTTGCAACTTCGCTTAGATCATGAATAGTTTCGAATTTAAAATCTTCTTTATGCGTAATTAACATTAAAATTATATTTGAAAGTATTTTGTTCAAGCTACTTCGAATTGAGAAACATGTTAATTTCATTGAAATGTGCTGAAATTAATACAATTTGTCATCTGTACTCAATCAAGATTTTACTATGCTTATGCTTCCCTATTTAGTTTGTGTAACAAGTTTTTAATATTAACTAATAGCCAGTATTATTATTCAGTGTGATAAAAAAATATCAATATCTGAAAGCACCAGTTCGTACCTTGCCGACTCGTACTTGAAGCATTCGTAGATAGGATGGTTGTTGATACAACAGTCGTGGAAACCTTCGGCGTCCTTTCCATCGTTGTGTTTCTGACCTTCGTTGTAGGCTGCTGCGTTGCTGATGTTCCATTTTGCGCAAACGCTGGGGATTTTGGGGTGGATTCAGTCCTTCGTGATGTTGATGTTGGCATCGGCTTTTTATTTGAAATGATTGACTTTGGCGTCATTTTGTCGGACGTGGAAGCGACCTTTTCAGTGGTAGTGGTTGTCATCACAGTTTTTGATCCTATTTTGGTTGTGTTGGATTCTGGTGTCTTGTCTGTCGGTTTAAATGGTAATTTCATTGTTGTGTTTCCGACACTTCTGGTCGTTCGGGAATGGACAGTATTGTTTTTGAATGTACCTGAAATGCCAAGGGTTTACTCAATTTTGAAATGACAACAACTAAGAACGGGTGAAATCTCAATTAAATTCCACTAAAAAAAGAAGGGGTCGCAGTACAGGAGCGAAATAGAATTAACCCCCCCCCCCCACACACACACACACACATTCCTCCCTAATCCCAGCACCACCTCGCGTTTGCACATCAACGTGCAGCTAAAAGCACCCGCGTTAGCCGGAATTCCATAACGTGTCCATATTTTTTGCCAAGGTCGTTGAAGGACACTTTCGTAAACCCACTCCAAATCAAAACTAGCCAGTTGATTGCCTCATCCGATTTTTATTCTGTCCCAAATTAAATTCTGTCCCAAAGATCCAACCATATGACATTGCACAGTGAGGGTGGAATGTGCTTAACGCCCATTTAAAAAAACTAGTTTGTTCTGGGACTAACACTGATCAGTCTTTATTTCACAAATTTGCTTGCACACCCGTTAGGGTTATTTTAAGCAGCGTGATCGGACACGAGGCAATTTACACCTACTAACTTTTACTATACCGTTGATGGGATTATTTATGGGATCACTACTTTACATATCTTACCTTTAAATGCTTCCGGTTCACTATGAAGGTATTTTTCTTGAATATCCATCATGGAATCCCCGTTACAGAGAGAAGCTGTACAGAAGCACCATTCTACTTCTTTACCCCACACATTCTGGACTTCACAACCAACATAGTCACTTTTAACAACACTTCCGATCCAACCATCAGCACATCCTCGATAAGTTACTGAAATCACAAAATGCATAGGGTGGGTTGAGAGTCGTCATTGCTCATGGACAAAAATGTTACTTTAATAACTCTCTATACACCCAGCCGAAGCTCAGATGCTAGAGTTGTATATGCCAATTCTGCTATAATCAAAATAGTTAATGTATTCCCTATTTTCTTTTGTTTAGCTTTTCAGGACACTCGAAATTTCCAATGCAAAAGTACAACAATAATTAAGATAGCTTTGCGAACCAGTCACACGAGAAATTGTATTAGATCTTAGCTCACCCTGTCAATTTAGCTCAATGGTTCGATAGTATGGACCTGGATTTCAGAAACTAACGCTACCAGGCCTAAGGTAGGGATGTTACAATAAGTCACTGTTGAGGGTATCCATGAGTCATAGTAAGTCAGTGGGCATACTGGTTTCGTTCCTGGGTTATAAAAGCCACATTGGTTACTGCAGACCCCATATGACACCATTTTCCATATGGGCTTCCCATAGCAACTTAAAATAGCTATAAACTAGTGAAATGCATGATAACAAAGTGAACGTTTGGACTAGTAATTAATTGAACTTGTTATCTTAACCATTACTTACCATCGCCGTCATGACGAACGAAACATTTATTGGTAGCAGGACACGCTGTTTTACCCAAATAGTGAGCTTTGGTACTATCTACAGTATCACCACATAGAGGGCTATCACTGTAACAATCCCAACAGAAAAATTCTGAAATACAATTTAAAGTTCAAACTAGGTCATTTCCAGCCATACATATGGTATACCTTTATGTCAATAATTAGCTTGGACACAGGAATCTTTAGCAGCGGAAAGAAACATGCCGACCCTTTTCCTTGACACAGATCTGTAAGCCACGATACTTAACGCATTGACAAACCTTATAATTTCAATCGTCCGTGCACGTTAGATCTCTGCCCACCCACAACACTAACCTTCTCCCCGCATTGAGAATTAATGTATATTAAAATTCTGCTTCCCAAAATTTCCAACTCATTTAGTTAGATAAAAAACAGCCGAGTTCCGGGGTTAAGAAATGAAATGAGGTTTAACGTCCCACTCTTTTTTCCACGACCAAGTTTCACTATTACTGAGTATAGATTAGAAATCGTCCATAGCATGTGTTTGTAACTTACACCGATGATTTTCCTTGTGGGATTGTGGTGTAGATGGTCAAATATAGAATATATTAGAGGAAGCACTCACCAGAAGCTGAAATATCAATTTCATTATTGTCTATACTATTTTCATTTCGTTGCCAGTCGATATCTGGTATAGAATCAATAACTTGACTAGGATCATCACCAATACTATCATGTTGCTGAATAACGCCCACAGACTTATGGATCCCGGCCATTGGAGGCATGGTAGTTGACTGGTAGAAGGTACCTTCCCACCAAGGTAAAAGCTGTTCCCAACCTTCACCCCAATCCATTGACTCCGTGGAAGCAGCTTCAGACTGAACTTTCTTGATGGTTTCGGTAGTTGCTTCAACAGCTTCAGCAACTGCTGGAACACTTTCGGTGGTGATCTTTTCATTTACTTCATTAGTTGGCCATTGTGGACGATCAGAATCAGCATGCCAATACCAAAGATTCCATGTAGGGTCATCCGAATGAGCTTTTTGCTCCTGGTAGTCATGATGGAAGTCATCAAACTCATTCTGGTTTGTTGTTGGTCCGTTAACAGCTCCGACATTATTCATGTCATTAAGTTCATTAAGCTCCGAAGACTCCCAAGCACCTGTATTGTCGTTCCATGTCCACTGATTCCAATCGATGTTGTCCCAGTCATGTTCCCAGGGGTTGATCGTAGCTGCCGGTTCAGCTGTGGTGCTACTCTCCAACGGAGCGAGTTGATCGTGAACTTTATCTAAACGTTGTCCAATGTTATTGATGATTTCCTCTACGGTGCCACCATTGCAGTAATCTTCCTGGCAGAAACACCATGTTTGTTTTCCCATCCACGGCACTTCCTGGGTCTGGCATCCAATATAGTTTATATCTACTTGCGACTGCATCCACCAATCTGCACATCCCCTGGTTATAACTGAAACATAAGTATGTGATCGTATGAAAGAATGACGAAGACAGGACATTTAAGCTACAGGGCAATTGACCGAGATAAATAACGCGTCATATCACTATAACTGGTCAGTGAACCTTTCATGATCTGAATTGTCAAATCACCCGACTTGGAGTTTAACAAATTTCATCGATCAATACGGCCGCACAGCAACATGGCGTTTTGGGTGCATTTCATAGTACAGAATTATGCGAAATATACTGTTCTATGAGGATACTTAAAGAAGATAAATCTCTATTCTTTGACACCTAGAAATGGACACAAATGGGTCGCAACGCATATAATAATGTAATATGAATATATATAAACCGATTTACGTTCAATCGTTTCTGATTTTATTGTAATTTCTAATACGCGAAGAATCCAAACTGAATGGCAGTCTTTGGCGTCTGGTTATTCCAGTCTACGCCGATAGTATTCTCCTTTTGGATAAGAAAGGCACAGACAATACACCGGGACTCATAATGTCATATTGAGTTATACTATCAAATGTTTTTGAATTCTAATTTAAACTACCCACCTCCACTTTCTTCCTTCTTTAAGAAACATGTATCAGTTTTCTTACATTCACTTGTAGCTACGGCTGCTGGGAACGGTTCATCGACCGACTCTCGACAATATGGACTCCAACTCGTACAGTCATGACAATTGATAGCTATAAACAACATAAAAGAAAAGACAACATAAATAACAAGATGGATTATTTCAATATAATTTTGTTTTGCGAACTGTGTAAAATTTAAATATCCAGTAAATACAACCGATTTCTTCTTATTTTGTCGATTTTAGGAAATGGCTGATACCCATATCTATCGACCCGTCGATTTTAGCAAGCACGTGGGGCTCTATTTGTCATTATAAAATTAATATAAGCATCTGGGGTTTCTTTACGAAATCAAACGCAATTGTGGACCTTTAGTTTTTGATATTGTCCTTAAAAGGATGTTCATTTACTCATAGTAAACGTTTTACTTAAACAGGAAAATATTGGTTTGTGAACTTACAATTTTCTCAAGTAAACTAATTTAAACATCGTGATATGTTTAGACCAAGCAACGTAAAATAACAGGCACACAAAATGTTTGTTTATTGTCCTAGAGTAGTTTGCTTGAATTAGGTGTCATATTGTTTCATCACAAGCGTAGTAATATCAACACACGGGATGCCATAATAGGGTTTAACGTTCTGTCCAACCAGGTTGATTTTAAGACTAACGTGACGTCTTTAATGTTCATTTCAATGGTTACGTTTATATGCAATTCATTGGGAATAAAAGTTTTGCTAGGATAGTGACATTTACGTTCCCTAATGCAGTGGCGAAGTCAGAATTTTAATAAAATGGGGGCTCGGTACCAAAAATTAACTCTGTCGTCATGAGATGAAAATTTTGTTTTCATGTGAAATTAAACTTGTCTTCGCGGAAAGTTATTATTTCATGAATCCTTCAAAGTGAGCTTTTTTAATATTGTTATAATGCCCCACAAACGACACGCATGCTCTTTAGAAAAGTGGACACTAATCAGTTTGAATCCTTCAAAGTAAACTATTCAATATCCTTATAATGCTAAGAAAAGTACACGTTCAACGTTTAGAAAACTGGACACTTATCAGTAATAAAGGTAACTACAAGCTTAAAGCGAACACGAAAGAGGAGTTCAACATCAAACGTCTTTTTAGAAAATTTGCGTAATGTTCGTTGACTTTGGCCAATCGTAATAATATATCTAACATGTAGAACTGTCACAAAACGTAACCATAACCACAAATAACTCAGGTTAATACTACAAGGCCCGATTAAGTCACAACTTGTATGAGCATACTGTTTGTTCATTGATTGCTAACAGCCCGTTATGTAATGTTAAAACCAGAACATCCCAAAATACCCAAATCTGTCTTGAAATAACGTCCAGTAGAAAAATATGTCGTAAAATATTTAAGTTTCCGAGTTGGACCATGTAATAAAACTAAAAGTTTTTCACCATAAAATAACGAAATATGTTGGCGAGAAGAAGATATGCCCTTTGTGCTATTTCTGATATTGATATTCCCCCTCACGAAAGATGAATACTGGATCCGTGTTTTGGACCAGGAAATACTAATACCAAAGTTGGATGACATAGAAGTTCGCATTATTAGCTACACTATAATTGTATTTCGAACACCATATTATTAGGTTGGGGGAAAAGCAGGAGTGCCCCTTTAAGATAGTGCCAAACAAAAGGCAACGCGACCGAGTAGAGTAAAACTGCCAAAAATACATTTTTAAAACAAACTTTTTCCTTAAAATACTTTTTATGTTCCGAAGAGAAAATACAACCAACAATTTCCTACAACAAATACGAAAGTTCTATTTGCAGTACTTGTCAACCCTGTCCAGAATAGATAACGTGTTCAAAGGTTGTCGCGCTCATTTTTTTTTACATTCGAGGAAGCTGCACCGTAGAAATGGATTTTCTTGTTTATATAGAGCATGCTAGCTAAACAAAATTTCCTAAACGTTAGCTAAAATAGATATTCCCCCTTTTAAGAGATGTTTCAAAGAAAAATATCCCTGTATCTTTTGAAGAATCGTAATACATTTGCACTAAAACCTGGACGTACATATGAATGAATGAAGGAATGAAAAGCGCCAATTTCATGTGGATAAAAAGAGGTATTTCTTTTTTTGGGGGGTGTGGTGGAGGGGGGGGGGTGTATGTAATGTAGAATACATGGAAGAACTGTGAAGTACCTTCGGTAAATTTTAAGCCAGTTTTCTAGTCGATTTCTAATTATCATGGTTAACACCAGAAAAGGAAAGTTCATCTATAATATTTCAGATGGAATGAAAATTGACAGTTGGGATAGGAAGACTTGTCCGCCTCAAGGATTTCAAAGCCCAATTTTCCATATACTCCCACCCTCATAGTGTGGAATGTTGATAAAGGTTAAAAAACCCCATCCAATTAGTCCTGATCAGCGTTCGGGAATGTGACCCATTAACTTTTAATCAGACGACCTTTAATTAGCAAAAGATCTATTTATATATTCAGTAGCCATAGACTAATATATAATTTAATTTTTTTTTTTTTTAAGGATGTCTTTATTTCATTGAGTCTTTATTATCGCCTATCTTCATTAGACCAGTCGGTGCCCAACGGTAGGACGTTAAACCCGATTTTATTTCTTTATTATCGGATGTCAAGTTAATTTTATAAAAATAAATAGTGTTTTATGTTTTTGTCTGTACCAACTGTATTACAAAAACTTTAATATAACGCCACTAGGAATAGATAAATAAAACCTTTTAGAAATTCAGCTTTTATCTATCAATTGATGTCAAAATGCATTCACAACATACATGTTCAAAGAATGTGCAATGTTTCGCCCGAGGTAGTGTATACTGACAAAATGAGTAACTCGGGTCAACCAGAAAAATGGACTTCCAAGGCAAGTGGTAACGTCAGATTTGACAAACAGAGCGTTCCACAAACCATTTCTGAAACATCTGATGTTCATGAGACTAACAAACCTGTGTCGAGTGTTTGTAACAATGCTAACTATGGGCACAAATACCCCAGAAACTCCAATGACAATCAATGACAGACAGACACAATCACGTGTGACACATTCATATTTCAACAAAGTGTGTAAATGTGTGGCGAATGTAAAACAATGAAATTGATTGACACCGTGTAACACTACTGGCATAAAATAACACGTATACGTTTCCACCATTTACACAATGCCAAATGACATAACAAACCTCCCGTTTAAGAAGTTTTTTATGGGTTTTTTTGGTGGTGAAAATTCAAACTGTTCCTGAGAAATACTTTCAAATTGTTCTCGGGAAAAAGAATTCAAACTTTAGCGTTAGAAAATTGATTCAAAGTGTCTTTATATGAAAATGAACTCCTTAAATCTTGAGAAAATAAATCTAATCGTCAGTACATACTAGATCATTAATTGCGAGCAGGAGTCCTTTAACACGAGTACTCGGAAAAAAGCCCCGAGGTGATATAGGTGAGCCTACTCCTTGTCACGAAACCACGCCACATGACTCAATGAAAAACGTGTTTTTTAAATTACTCAACAAAATATCTATGTGCACCAGAAAGAATTTCTCATCATTTCACAAATAGAACGGGCTCTCAAAGTGGTCAATAATTATGATCTATATAGTAATACAATCAGAAACATTTTCATTTATGCAGATAACGGTTGGCATACGGTTTTAAAATCCAAGATTCAAATATCTTATTGAATCCCCTCTCCATTCCTCCTACCGTCTATTCTAGAGGAGGCCCAGGTGCTTGCCGTGTGGTGTACGCGGTGCATGGAAGATATACTGTATTTATCTTGACAAATATTGCACACGTAAAAGTATATATTAGTATCTTGGGTTGGTCACAAAATGACCGAAACTAAATTTATATTACTTGTCCTAGACACAATCACTACAATGGCTTCTAAATGTGACGTAAATCGTGCTGAAAGGTATGGTGATTGCCGAAAGGTAATATCTAGCAAATACACGGGCACTCACAATAGAATTAACAATGGTTCGCGCTAAAAAGTTCGCATCACTTTACAATGCGAAAGTCAGTAGTGTCAGTCAGGATGTTTTGGGGTTTTTTTTACAATCTAGAATTTATAGAGGATCATGTATGAATGTATTAGTTGCAGCCTGCAAGAGTTTAAATTCTCAATGAATGCGCTATACAGAACTCGTGACTTACTACACCCAGCCACACTCACACACCCTATAATCGGACGCTTTATTTTTAAATATCGAATAATTTGGTTAAGTATAATTACATGTTTAAGTTTTCCATACCAAGAAACTGTTATGCTTATCAATACGGTAGGATTTAAATTTTACAGATATTCGAAATAATTAATTTATATCCTGTTTTAGATAGCTTAATCTGAATTTAGAAGTTTTAAATTTAAATTTCTCTTAAGACTTTTAGGAGTATGCTACCGGTTTAAACTATATTCGGGTATTTTTAAAATGGGTGAAACATTTGTTGGGTCCGACCATATTCTTCAAAGAAACAGTACGAATGACCACCCAAACTATCGAATATGTGTTCGTATAAAGTGCAGTGCTGCCTTCCCAACCAAACCACATTCTAAGCCATGTATCAATAACATTCTAAGGTTAGGGCTAGCGATTTTATCATCCAGTATTTAATGACCTGAGAGATAGGTGAAAAAAGGGCATTTTACACCAACCGGTCAAATATAGCTTCCCCTATTGCTTCTGAGATATAAACTCCAAACCCTGTTAGTTAAAGCCGAAATTACCTCTTTCAGAAATGTCAAATTTCTTTCGATTTCTCGATCTTCATAACTTTGTTTGCCGAGCAATAGTTATTTGGAGCCAGAAAACACCTTTAAACCCAACTATCGGTAAGTTTTCCACAACGATCTAATGATGAATTACAAGAAGTTTCCAGAAACTTTTTTGAAACTCTCCTTTTACGTAATGTGTCATTGCTTTGTAGATACGGGTGAATAAAAACTTAACGGGAATTATTTAATATATCCAGTTTTCTAAATTTTTTGAAATAAGAACACGAAGTTTAACAATAATTACAGATTCTGAGATTGGTAGATAATATTGCCAAGCTGCGCAATCACGAACTAGATAAACAGAAAAATTTCAAAATTCAAGATTCACTTAAATATAGACATTTTATTATTAATTTTGTTTTGGAAATTAAATAACTCCAGATTCTTGTTCTATTCATTTAATAATCATATGCCGACTATCTTTGACAGAAGAATTGTAAAAAAAATAGCTTACCTTCGCTCCCACGAAGAAGTAATTGTAATATTCCGTATAAAACGAATACATCCATATTAAAAATATATACTGACAAGTCGAACCAAAAATAAAATTGGTGATTCCCTGTAATTCTTTTACGAACTGCAAAGATGGGCTTAATTAAAGTCCAATTTTTTCAGTGATGATCTGAATTATTGAAGTCCAAATTTTTCAGTGATGTGAAACTAAATATCGTTGAAACTGGATAACTTGTATGCTCTCGGGTCTACGGCCACTGACTTTTCGTTACCGATTTTGCAGCCGGATTCTACTTATAGAGGACTTGGGGGGAAACTACGCATGCGTCAGCAGAGAATGTTTGAAGAATTTCCAGTGATGCGGTTTGTGTTTGTATAGTTGTTTTCATTGCTCGTCACACGCGTTACAATTCGACACTGCTGCATCTTGCCTATTTTAAGAACTTATTTCAAAATGTTGAGTTGCATACTTAATGGGACAACAGCACTAGGAACGGTTCATGCCTACTATGTAATGTTTTTTGTGGAATAAAAATAATCTTGCACAAAATGTTTAAAATGTTATTTTTAACATATTTGATACATTTTTTATTGGAATTCTCATTTTTCACCTTCATCCAGATTTCCCGACGTGTTCCCCCTCTGTCAGTGATGCAGGACGGAAGGCCTGACAAGGAGAGCTGTCTAGTCGTTCGGATAAGACGAAAAAGCGAGGTCCCGTGTACACATTGGCGTGCACGAAAAAGATCCCTTGACAGTTGGAATTCGATATAAGAGTAGGCCGTAGTGCCGCTGTCCGAGCAAAGTTTCCCTCATAGCACACTGTATGGGGTATGCCCGTCTTCATTAGCCCAGTCGGAGCACAACAGACTAGACGCTTTTACTTGTCAAGCGCCACTAGCACGGGAAACCCAGGGTGGAAAATCACATGGAAATTATTTTTCGCTCGCCCACCACATGGATCTACACGGACTTCCTGTTTAATGAGCCAGCAACATACTCCCGAGGACATTGTGGGCAAATGCAACAGTCGTCTATCATAATAAAAATGTCACTGAACGAAGTAAAGATAGAGAATGATTTATTTTGTATTTTATGTAAAAAAAAAAATAATTATGGATGTTTAAAGTTCACTTTAACTAGTGGGAACAATGGATTCTTAGAATTTATTTAATGAAACATTCGTGACACGAACTCTTGACTTATGCTGTGGAGACCGTACGTACAGCAGAACTCATCTAGAAGAATGTCCCGGGTTCGAATCCGGATGTGGGCGAAGTAGATGCTCGGTTCGGTCACAAATGGTCACGAGAAATGCTTTTTCGATCAGAGAGAACAGGGTGACTACATATTTGTTTGAATGACATGAAACAAACCATCTTCTCTTTGGAATTTATAGCATTAAAAGATTTCATGACATTTATCATTTAAAATAAGGGAATGTGGAAACCCCATTCTTCGACCAAAATCATCCGACATTAGCATTGCTTAAAAGTTAACGTCGTAGTTAAAACTAGTCATATTATTATTACAGCCGATTACATTCTCCAGTCACAAAAGACCCTTGTAGTATGTCGTTAGCCATTATTCTTACATTCTTGAGTAAAGTTGTGAACAATTTTGTCTATTCGTGGTTTACACTCAAACAGTAAGAAAAAGTTCCTAAAAAACAGCAGATAAGTTAAACGTGAGTTTACTGCAAATTTTGGTTGTTTACTACAAAAGAGCCTCTCTTAACGTATGCATATCATCTGCAACTGTTAGCGATATTACGGTATTTCTTCTTTTTCGTTTCGGGGGTTTTCACCGGATCAAGAATGTGACACAACCCGTCTCCTTTAGTTCAATTATAGAAATTTACAAACGAACCAATGTTTAAACTTTTATTTTATTCCTCATTGACTGGTTCGCGATTTTTAGCAATTTTTTCTTTTTATGAGGAATTGCAAAACCGATGTGTACACATATGACGATACAGTCAAATCTTCACGATTACAACAAATTCTGATATTATGTCCTAGTAAGTTCATATGCTAACAATTTTTGTTTTACTGTTGTTGAGGATGTCTTAAGGAAAGCCACCAGGTCGATGAACTCGCGCCCATATTAGATTGCCAATTTTAAGACCCTCAACCTAAAGATAGAAAACATGTTTGGTTGAAATGTCGATGTTCTCAATGTTTGCCAATATATTTGCAAAAATGATAAACGCTTGTGCGTAGATTAAAAAGATAGAGAATTACAAATACAGAAAAAAATATTCCGAAGAATTTCTGAAAATGTATGATTTATACTGATCGTCCTGGTAGGACTTTTGTGGGTTTTCTGGTCTATAAATACTAGTAGATGAAAAATACTTGGGTACCCGCGTAACCCATAAAATACACAGACACTCACAAAGAGGATAATCTCGTGTCAGGTAACTCTACTCTCGAGAATTCCCATGGGATGCAATCCTACAATGGAGGAACAGGGCTTGATAAAATCCCGAAGTTCTTCTCTGGTCACCCCGGATTAAAAACACGTTCTCTATGTGTCAGGAGCTAACAAAAAAAGTGTGTTAAGCTTTTAGCTTTGGGACGAAAAAACGATGTACAGTAAGCTACACCCGAGAGAACTTTTTTTGACAGCTTGAATTCGAAGAAAAGGTTTGGATCAAGTATTAAATACACTGTCGTTCGAATCTGGCAAATCAACCCTTTATTTCTTGAGATGTTAGTCTCAAATTAATTCATTACCTTAATTCTATTTTGGTTCCGTACTAGTCACGCCTAAAATCCATAAAGTACCCATAAAAATCCACATGGAATACCAAAGACATTACCTTATCGAAGAGAAGAACCGTTCCATTTCTTCATATTTTCAAGCTGCGAGAATTAGCCATGTAACTACAGTGTTGTTGTTAAAATATCTTTATTCATCAAGACTCATCTTGGATTTCCCCTGATCAGTCAGCTACCGTTTCTACTGACAGAGGGGAATGCTAAGATGTACCGAATCGTGCCATTGTAAGGAATTAAATTTTAACGAATTGATAAAGGAAATGATTTTGTATAAATGACGTGTCAATTGTATTTAACTAGAACTCGTTTGAACAAAAAAAAAACCCCAAAAAACGCACTGCACTGGTTGCGGTAACAAAATAATTCTAAAGATGGGTATGGGGTGAAAAGTGTCTTGCGTGTGTGACTTTTGGCATCAAAAAAATAAAGTGAAAAACCATGGGAGGATGTTTTGTTGAATACACTATCCGAGGGCAGTCTGGATGACAGAATACTCCGAATAAGTATTGGTAGTGTTGGTATTTTTAAATCTTGGTTTAAGCAATCATTATTTGCAATGTTTACAATTACAGTATGTGGGATACGAAAACAAGCATAAATATACATTCAAATATCGCTCCCGAATAATAATTAATAATGATCTTAGTCATGCTATAGTGGAGATTCGAGGACTCTATATCAAACAGAAGAGTATTACCTTCATTACCAGGTAGGGGGGTTGGATGGCCGAATGGTTAGCACGTGCGCGCTGTATCGTGAGGCCTGTCATTGAGTTAACTGGCGTGGTTTCGAATTCCCGTTTGTACGTGACAAGGAGTAGAGTTGCCTGTCCAACCTCGTGAGTTTTTTCCGGGTCCTCCACTCCCCCCCCCCCCAAATCCTAAAGACCCCTACGCGCATACGAATTATTGAAATAAAATTAAACGATATGTTAGTCCCGAAATGACCTAGTTTGTGTCGACTGGACGTTAAACCCCATTTCTCTCTCTCGCATTACCAGGTTTGATACATTAGGATACGATTTCCCACATTCTCCAGAGAATTGCGTTAAACCAGTAAACAGTGTACATGTTTTAAATTGTCTTTACATAACGCCATGCCATATACACACCGTGAAGTAAAAGCAATTTAAAGAGTATAATATACTTATTTGGGAAATTCTTATCTTTGAGAATTGTTTTAGTTATTTATACACCGTTGTCAGTGCTTTACACTATTCGTGATGAGACACCTTAGAGTGTGTATTTTACAAGAGACAGTGTAGATGTAATCTTTGTTGAAGCCCATACTTATCTCGTTTACCTATATATACATAGGAGGTTGGAATCCGGGGGGATACATTGGAAGAGTCAGTAACTAAATATATAAATAATTACTGGTGCATCTAAATACGCCAAACCAAACCAAGGGATGTACACAGACTATGGCAATCTATCCGGGCGTGCATTGTTCGGGTTTGGTTATGGATTAAAAGACCCGAAAACACAAACAAGGGAAGTAAACAGGCTTCGACAATTTATGTGGCTTCCCTAGAAATTTAGAAAGTACAAGGGTGCATTGTTTCTGTTGGACATGGCAGAACACCTGATATCATTTGTGACTGGGTTCATCTGTGAGGGTGTGTTTTGTGAGATGACTTTACATTGTTAACAGTTTTATAATCATTCTGGCATTCTGGTTAATTTGGACACTTAATGCATTATAGTTTTGTTATATCGTTGAAAGGGCTTTGCCATTTATTTTGATATTGTGGGTTATCAGCGTTGTGTTCACGTATTTTTTGTTGTACGATGTGGTGGGTTGATGCACTGGCTAATAATGTTAGAGATCGAAAGTGAATGCTATAATATATAGAAATATTTTTTTTAAATAGAACTTGTAAAATTTAGATTTAGATAGAATTGCCCCCTACTATATCGTCGTAGGGAGCTCTTATATTTTGTGCGTTACAATTTGTATCAGTGCATGGTTCCCAAATATTGGGGGTGGGTGGGCTCTCTCCTCCACTCCTAAAAAATGTGGTATTTGGGATAATAGAATTTCCTGACTATTAACTATAATGGGTTCAGAATAGTTTGTTCTTAAAAGATTGTTTTCTAATTGGCTCACTCGACCCCTTTATAGTGGTAATCGGTGATCTGTACTATGAATTTGATTTTTACCAATGTATAAAATTTAAACCACGATTTCTACATATTTTGAAAATATTCAGATTTTTATTTGTTGTCGCATTACGATTCGTCTAGGTGTCTACAAATAGATTATGACCAAGTTGCTAGTCCCTGTGTTTGTCTGTTTGTTTATTTTTAAGATCGGTGATGTTTTTTTTTTACTTTTATCTCCGCTATACGCCGAGGATCAAAGACTTATAGCTCAGTTTTTATGTCAATATCTACGTAAGTTATTGTCTTTGATTTGGAAAAAAAATAGAATGTCGATTTACGTTATCGTTGCCCACATTTTAAGTTGTTTTATGGGCTGGCTGAACCA